TTAATTTATCTTGCAGTTATATAATAAGATCTGAACCCTGGAATTTACATCATTTCATAATATAGAACTGTGGGCAATCGAAAAATCCTTGAGTTTAACTGAGATGTAATCATTTCAGCTTCAACAGTCAATTCAATAATTTGTAGTCCACATTGAACGTTTGAATTTTGTTTTTACGCATTCATTCACTTTGGCGCCACGCCGTCTTGTGATTTCTCCTTTATTGTGGTACCATTCAGCGCACTCTTCGAGCTTCCTACCTAGCCGAGGCATCAGATAAGTTGTACAACATTCTTATTTATTAAAATTGATATTTCATTTGTGCAAAATACAACTTTCTTCAGGAAACACTTCCAGTCTCAGGCCTTTTTACTTTGAGTTCGTAAAGCAGTACTTACTCACCAGGTAGGGTACTGCTAAGGTTATTAAGAGGAGAAGCATTTTGTAAGTGCCGTTGGTTGAGATCTGTTCTAAGTATAACCAACACTTACAAATTTGTGACGAAGCAGGTAAAAGAATACGCACTATAGAACGCTAGATATTGAAGAAGAAAGAATGCGGTCACTCTTTTGTGGTGTAGTGAGGCGAGCCGCCTAGTCACTGGGTTGGTATTGGCTAAGCTGAGAGTTCGGAGAGTTATTTGGCCAAGGCCCGAGTGTAACAAAATTTAGACTGCTTTTACTCCTAAAGGGCAACAGAAAGATGAGCCGGAGATTCGTCACCCAGTGTCAGAAACTGGCTGTCTACGGCACACATTCTTTCTTTCGCAAAAGCGGTTGTATTATCAATAAAAGATTTCTATTATTATCAATACCAACGCTTTCAACCGCATGGAGTATCTCTCATGAGAAGTGCTTAGGTAAAGCGGAGGCAGAAGCGGACACTCCAGTACAAATTTCTGGTATGCTGACCTCCTTCGACCTTCGATGACTCTTCACTGGGTTTTTCCTGTCTGCTTATTCACCTGGTATATCTCCACCGGCACTGTTCCGCTGAGTAATGGATTCATTGCTTCAGGGAAATACAATTAGAGTCGTTTCCGGTTCTTTGTGCATGAGTCCTCCCGTAGTGCTAAAGTGACCGAATACTGCATTCCGAAAGAGAAACTGGAACATATCCAGATGCATGGAAAACCACGCACATTACCCCTAGGTATAAGTCAGGCTCCCGTTCAAGTGTCATGAGTTACAGACCCATTAACCTAACTTCTGTTATTTCAAGGGTTCTGGAAAAGATCGTGAAAAGTGCCATTTTTGACTTCCTCTCTCAAGAGAAACTTATCACTCCTTATCAACATGGTTTCATGAAGTCACGTTCTTGCACTACATGCCATTTACAATTTTTTGATCACATCTCACAACTGAAAGATTCCAGTATGATC